CGACCGTACCAACACCACAAACAGCCGCACGCGCCCCGTTCCCCATCAACAAGGAGCTAGCCCGCCCGGCCTGGTAAAAAGAAAATAAGGAAACATCAGCACACACATGTATATTTGCACCAGTGTCAACCCACCAATCAGGTGAATGACAAACTGAAAATACAGAAGGCAAAACTTTACCATACCCAGATGTAGCTGCATCAGTCTCAACGGTGTTAACTGATTTCTGTGGTGGAGGAGGCTTCCACTTAGCCTCAGGACACTCCCTAGAAAAGTGCCCAGTCTTGCCACAGGTGAAACAATTCATCTTTTCCTTGTCCATCTTCTTACCCTTCTTGAAAGGAGTAGTGGTCTGTTGCTTAAGCCCTTGCTGAAATTTCTTTTTCTGTGGTTTTGGACGGTTCCTTTGCACCACATGTGCGCTAGAACTCCCCTCACCGACTTTCTTGCCTTTGACATCCTTTGCTCTAGCCTTGTCTTCAACATCTAGAGTCCCAACAAGCTCAGCAGTGCTGAACTCTTGCCTCTTGTGTTTCAGAGAAGTGGCAAAGTCAGTCCAAGATTGTGGTAGCTTAGCAATGATACAGCCTGCCACAAACTTGTCAGGAAGTACACACCCAAACAGCTCAAGTTCCTTTACCAGTGCCTGTATTTCATAGGCCTGTTCGACTACCGGACGGCCCTCAACCATCCGATAGTCATGGAACTGCTCCATAACATACAGCTCAGAACCGGCATCAGAAACACCAAAGCGGGCCTCAAGTGCATCCCACATGGCTTTTCCGGTCGGAAGTGGCACATATCCATCAACAAGAGAGTCTCCAATGACACTCAACAGAGCAGCCTTGCATGTGATGTCAGCGTTTTGGAATGCACGCTTCTCATCAGAGGTCCGCACTCCAGTAGGCTGCTCATGCACCACATGAAAGCAGTTCATAGAGGATAACCACAGAATTGTTTTCTGGCGCCATCTCTTATAGTGAGTGCCCTCAAATGGCGTTGGTTTCAGCAAACCCGAAAAGCCAACAGATGAAAATTGCCTATATTCACGTTTTTGAATGTTAGAAATATAGGCAAATTCAAGTTTAATTTAATCCGTAAAAGAGATATAAACAAAATACTCATGATATCATATATGTGCTTGTTCAAATGAGACATCTCCATGGATATTAAAATAGTGCTAACCAGTGAGACATGATACATATTATTGTCCGAATAAATCATGACCATCATATAGTTAACACTAACCAGCAAGATTGTAATAGAGATCATATAATTAACAAGACGGGTGAAGTGATTATACCCTGCAGCAGAGCCGGATGCAGCAAACATGATGCCTGTCGTTGTAGTCGTCCTGCTCGATGCAGTGAAGAACGGAAGCCGTGCAGATCACCCGACGAAGACGAGGGAGGGGATGAAGCGAGTAGTCGTGCCGCTTGCGGACACTCCCTAAAAACGTGATGGCCGCCCTTCACCCGAGCAAATGAACTCGATGAGCGGAGACGTTTGAGGCTCTACTCTTCCATCTCGTGTGCGCGCAGGAGACGGAACGGGAAAACTTTTTTTTAGACAGCGAGAACTTTTGGTTTTCGTAGTAATCCCAGAAAAATTGGACCAGGCGATGGAGTTAGGAATATATCCCACACACGGATGGGAAGGCCAGCGGACTCAGGAAGACTAGGAGGTAGCAGATACGATGAATGCTAGAGAAGGAAACTCCTGTACTCATTTGCCAATTAATTAATGGAATGAAAAAACCTTCTGTAACTTACGTAATCAAGAATTCTAATTGGCAAGATGGAATACTGAACGCTTGTTGCCTTCCTGCATGCCTAGTCACGTCCAAGGCCCAGCCGATCACCAGCCTCATGTGCCTAAGGTTGGTCCATATCACATATTGGTACTAAACCAATAAATATTATCTAATACAAATCATAGAGTTTATTAATTATTGTATATATTATATGGGCCTAGACCATAATATACCAACAGTAGTCAACTAGACGTCCTGTTCCTTCTCTATTTTTTTCTGAAATCAGGGTAGGATTTCCTACATTTACATTTTGACCCGATTGGTGGACTACCGAACCATTTCTTTTCTGGAGAGGTCGACAGTCGTCAACGCACACCGAATAGTTGCAGACAAAGGAAATATTTGCAGACGAAGGCCCACAAGAAAAGATGGAACCACGCACTCGAGCTGGGCCTGTTACTAGCGCTTCGACGGCGGCGGGCAGTTTATGTGAACGTCGTGCGAGTGGCACGACGGCCCGGCTCCGTCCGTGCCTGACTCCACTCCTGATGCAGCTGCAAGAAACCGCCTCGGCAACCTCGAGCGCAGCAGCAGCAGCGCAGCCCGCCGGAGCGCTCCGGTCCTCTGCTGCTGCCACGGCCCCGACCCAACGCCTTCCTCCTCCTTGCCCTGCTGCACAGGTGTCGTCGCATCGGACGACGGTGCCGCGCGGGCAGCAGCGTCGTTGGTCTTCTGGACGACGTCGCCAACCATCGGCCGCTCCATGCTGGGCAGGTGCGCGTCGTCCTCGGCGTCATGGCGGTGAGCAGAGGGAAACACCGCGGCTTTTTTCTCTCTCGGAGTCGACGACGATGGTTTCGCGCAGTCGGAGAGCTGGAAACGGTGGCAAGCGAGCAGGAGCAGCGTTAGGATCGTCGCGTGCACGGGGCGTGAAAGCTTCATCATCTTGTGGACCGTGGACGGTGGACGTGTGCCGTGCACGGCTTGCCTCCGTGCACTGTTCACTGTGACGACGACGACGACGACGACTGGAGAGTGGAGAGTTAAACTGAGCTCGATCTTAATATGCATATAAGAAAGAAAAATGATGCACTGCATGCACACACACATTGGCCGATCGATGGGAGCGTGTGCATTTTATACTAGTGCGAGTGGCTAGCTCGACCGGAGAGCCGTGCGTCGTCGAAGGTTAAGAGAGCAACGCGAGGGCAAGTTCAAAAGCTAGAGGGGGTGCATGCCTCTAATGCCTTCATGCATAAGGTACCTTTGGATGGTCTATGCAAAACCTGGTGAAATTTCTACTCATGACCCAATCGCATCACACGCTTTCAGAATCAGACAAAAGTGGAAGACACCCCCGGTCGGGCGCTCGTGCTATAGCAGCTGCAAGTGTATCTACTTTATCGATGGATGATGGAGCACGCTGCACGCGGCGCATCACTGGTATTGCCAACTTACTACGTCGTGTGTCGCGCAACGCGAGCTAGCGCTGCATGTGCATGGAACGTAACCATTAGTGGTGGTGCATTTCCATCAAAACTGACGCGCGTCGACCAAAGCGAACTGGAGCCAGCAAAAGAGCGAATTTGCGGAGACATTTCTGCACCGCGGCAAGTGGCATGCAGCTAGCTCAGTCAAAGATTCGCACTTGCACGAGATGTGACCAAGTGAATATACCTCCACTCCTACATCTGGCGGGAAATTGCCCTCAACGTACCACAGTCCATGTCCACGGAGTATACTTCAAGTCTTCAATGACGGTTCAAACAGGCCAACCGCGTGGCCGTAAGTGTACGTAACACATGAGCTATCTTTTTGTATCTACTGCTATATACTACTCCAAGCTATAAGTTTAGTACCTTTAGATGGTGATTGATGGGCAAGTGTACAAGGTCAATGACGGTGTGGTGATTAATGAATAGTGTAGGGACGTCACAAGTGGGTGGTCCATGAACCTGAATAAAAGTCAAACTCTATTTTAACAACTTTTTCAAAAAAAAATGTTTATAACAAACTGTGTTCTAGTAGGGTTTCTAGAAATTTTACTTGCGTATGTTTGTTTTTAATGAGCTTCCTCCTAGAACTCGACCTAGGGGAACTCCACGAAAATTTATCCTGAAAAAGATTTCTAGATTTCTTTATGATGCCCCCACTATATTGTAAAAGAGACCATTCAAACTTTTGTTCCCACCAAGAACATGGAGAAGTTTCACAGAGGTATAATTTCCTTCTGATCCAGAGTGGTATAATTTATGTCACAACAATTTTAATTTGGAATATGTGTCAAGCATGCTCTTTAAATTAGCTCTAACGTTTAAAGAAACAAAATTGAATTCATGGAACGCCTAACAAGATTTTGTCAGGGAAACCTAGGATAGTACACTTTCAAAAGTCGCCATTCCTCTTGGGAGGGGTACCAAAGCTTAACTAGGATTCGAACGTGGGAGATAGAGGCGTTTTGCGTGGAACGAGTACATGTTTATAGCTCTATATCCTCTAAGACCGTGCAAAAATTAAAGTTGAACGTGTCTATAAGTATTTGTGACTGCAGAGAGTACATAAATAAGGTAAATGTTTCCAAGAATAGAAAGTTGTGGAGAAGAAATGTCAAAAGTCCAGCGGCGCACACTGGCTAGTGGCTAGTCGCGCCAGACTGCCGACTGGTGTCGCGCGTGATGCAATGGATGCGAAACGAAGTTGAAGTTGTGCACACATAACAGCTAGCGTTGTTGAAATTCTAAAGCTTTATTACACTATACACAAACATATCCATGTACATGTACTCAATTGTTGAAATTCTAATGTACTTACATCTTACTTAGCTTGTTCTAGCGTGCCACAATGGTTACCGGACACACACACACTAGAACGTGTTTGTACTTCCAACGGCTAATTATTTCGGTGCATATAATAAGCAAAATTAATAAACATATATGAAGTGAAATAATTGCAGCATCGTCGAGACGTCTTCATCCGAAGGATCGCGCGCTTGCGATTGGCAGCCCGCAGCCAGCAGCTGGCTTGGTTGCTAGGGCTTTCCCGCCGGTGGCGGTGGGCAGTGTATTTTCTGGTTGTTGGAGTGGCACGACAGCCCGGCTCCGTCCGTGCCTGACTCCACTCCTGATGCAGCTGCAAGAAACCGCCTCGGCAACCTCGAGCGCAGCAGCAGCAGCGCAGCCCGCCGGAGCGCTCCGGTCCTCTGCTGCTGCCACGGCCCCGACCCAACGCCTTCCTCCTCCTTGCCCTGCTACACAGGTGTCGTCGCATCGGACGACGGTGCCGCGCGGGCAGCAGCGTCGTTGGTCTTCTCGACGACGTCGCCAACCATCGGCCGCTCCATGATGGGCAGGTGCGCGTCGTCCTCGGCGTCATGGCGGTGAGCAGAGGGAAACACCGCGGCTTTTTTCTCCCTCGGAGTCGACGACGATGGTTTGGCGCAGTCGGAGAGCTGGAAACGGTGGCAAGCGAGCAGGAGCAGCGTTAGGATCGTCGCGTGCACGGGGCGTGAAAGCTTCATCATCTTGGGGACCGTGGACGGTGGACGTGTGCCGTGCACGGCTTGCCTCCGTGCACTGTTCACTGTGATGACGACGACTGGAGAGTGGAGAGTTAAACTGAGCTCTATCTTAATATGCATATAAGAAAGAAAACTGATGCACTGCATGCACACACACATTGGCCGATCGATGGGAGCGTGTGCATTTTATACTAGTGCGAGTGGCTAGCTCGACCGGAGAGCCGTGCGTCGTCGAAGGTTAAGAGAGCAACGCGAGGGCAAGTTCAAAAGCTAGAGGGGGTGCATGCCTCTAATGCCTTCATGCATAAGGTACCTTTGGATGGTCTATGCAAAACCTGGTGAAATTTCTACTGATGGCCCAATCGCATCACACGCTTTCAGAATCAGACAAAAGTGGAAGACACCCCCGGTCGGGCGCTCGTGCTATAGCAGCTGTATGTGTATCTACTTTATCGATGGATGATGGAGCACGCTGCACGCGGCGCATCACTGGTATTGCCAACTTACTACGTCGTGTGTCGCGCAACGCGAGCTAGCGCTGCATGTGCATGGAACGGAACCATTAGGCTTCGTTCGGTTACGTGAGATTGATTCCCGGCCGCATTGTTCCTTCATTGATTTACATAGCGTAGGAATGGTTCCTGGCCATTCCACGCCGAGAACGGCCTAACCGAACAGCCCCTTAGTGGTGGTGCATTTCCATCAAAACTGACGCGCGGCGACCAAAGCGAACTGGAGCCAGCTAGAGAGCGAATTTGCAGAGACATTTCTGCCACCGCGCACTTCTGACTGCTGGGGGGCGGTATACCTCCACTCTTACATCTGGCGGGAAATTGCCTCAACGTACCACAGTCCATGTCCACGGAGTATACTTCAAGTCTTCAATGACGGTTCAAACAGGCCAACCGCGTGGCCGTAAGTGTACGTAGCACATGAGCTATCTTTTTGTATCTACTGCTATATACTACTCCAAGCTATAAGTTTAATACCTTTAGATGGTGATTGATGGGCAAGTGTACAAGGTCAATGACGGTGTGGTGATTAATGAATAGTGTAGGGACGTCACAAGTGGGTGGTCCATGAACCTGAATAAAAGTCAACCTCTATTTTAACAAGTTTTTTTCAAAAAAAATGTTTATAACAAACTGTGTTCTAGTAGGGTTTCTAGAAATTTTACTTGCGTATGTTTGTTTTTAATGAGCTTCCTCCTAGAACTCGACCTAGGGGAACTCCACGAAAATTTATCCTGAAAAAGATTTCTAGATTTCTTTATGATGCCCCCACTATATTGTAAAAGAGACCATTCAAACTTTTGTTCCCACCAAGAACATGGAGAAGTTTCACAGAGGTATAATTTCCTTCCGATCCAGAGTGGTATAATTTATGTCACAACAATTTTAATTTGGAATATGTGTCAAGCATGCTCTTTAAATTAGCTCTAACGTTTAAAGAAACAAAATTGAATTCATGGAACGCCTAACAACATTTTGTCAGGGAAACCTAGGATAGTACACTTTCAAAAGTCGCCATTCCTCTTGGGAGAGGTACCAAAGCTTAACTAGGATTCGAACGTGGGAGATAGAGGCGTTTTGCGTGGAACGAGTACATGTTTATAGCTCTATATCCTCTAAGACCGTGCAAAAATTAAAGTTGAACGTGTCAATAAGTATTTGTGACTGCAGAGAGTGCTTAAATAAGGTAAAAGTTTCCAAGAATAGAAAGTTGTGGAGAAGAAATGTCAAAAGTCCAGCGGCGCACACTGGCTAGTGGCTAGTCGCGCCGACTGCCGACTGGTGTCGCGCGTGATGCAATGGATGCGAAACGAAGTTGAAGTTGTGCACACATAACAGCTAGCGTTGTTGAAATTCTAAAGCTTTATTACACTATACACAAACATATCCATGTACATGTACTCAATTGTTGAAATTCTAATGTACTTACATCTTACTTAGCTTGTTCTAGCGTGCCACAATGGTTACCGGACACACACACACTAGAACGTGTTTGTACTTCCAACGGCTAATTATTTCGGTGCATATAATAAGCAAAATTAATAAACATATATGAAGTGAAATAATTGCAGCATCGTCGAGACGTCTTCATCCGAAGGATCGCGCGCTTGCGATGGGCAGCCCGCAGCCAGCACAGCTGGCTTGGTTGCTAGGGCTTTCCCGCCGGTGGCGGTGGGCAGTGTATTTTCGGGTTGTAGGAGTGGCACGACAGCCCGGCTCCGTCCGTGCCTGACTCCACTCCTGATGCAGCTGCAAGAAACCGCCTCGGCAACCTCGAGCGCAGCAGCAGCAGCGCAGCCCGCCGGAGCGCTCCGGTCCTCTGCTGCTGCCACGGCCCCGACCCAACGCCTTCCTCCTCCTTGCCCTGCTGCACAGGTGTCGTCGCATCGGACGACGGTGCCGCGCGGGCAGCAGCGTCGTTGGTCTTCTCGACGACGTCGCCAACCATCGGCCGCTCCATGCTGGGCAGGTGCGCGTCGTCCTCAGCGTCATGGCGGTGAGCAGAGGGAAACACCGCGGCTTTTTTCTCCCTCGGAGTCCACGACGATGGTTTGGCGCAGTCGGAGAGCTGGAAACGGTGGCAAGCGAGCAGGAGCAGCGTTAGGATCGTCGCGTGCACGGGGCGTGAAAGCTTCATCATCTTGTGGACCGTGGACGGTGGACGTGTGCCGTGCACGGCTTGCCTCCGTGCCACTGTCCACTGTGACGACGACGACGACGACGACGACTGGAGAGTGGAGAGTTAAACTGAGCTCGATCTTAATATGCATATAAGAAAGAAAAATGATGCACTGCATGCACACACACATTGGCCGATCGATGGGAGCGTGTGCATTTTATACTAGTGCGAGTGGCTAGCTCGACCGGAGAGCCGTGCGTCGTCGAAGGTTAAGAGAGCAACGCGAGGGCAAGTTCAAAAGCTAGAGGGGGTGCATGCATGCCTTCATGCATAAGGTACCTTTGGATGGTCTATGCAAAACATGGTGAAATTTCTAGTCATGACCCAATCGCATCACACGCTTTCAGAATCAGACAAAAGTGGAAGGGGCCGCTCGTGCTATCACAGAGGTATAATTTCCTTCCGATCCAGAGTGGTATAATTTATGCCACAACAATTTTAATTTGGAATATGTGTCAAGCATGCTCTTTAAATTAGCTCTAGCGTTTAAAGAAACAAAATTGAATCCATGGAACTCCTAACAAGATTTTGTCAGGGAAACCTAGGATAGTACACTTTCAAAAGTCGCCATTCCTCTTGGGAGGGGTACCAAAGCTTAACTAGGATTCGAACGTGGGAGATAGAGGCGTTTTGCGTGGAACGAGTACATGTTTATAGCTCTATATCCTCTAAGACCGTGCAAAAATTAAAGTTGAACGTGTCAATAAGTATTTGTGACTGCAGAGAGTACATAAATAAGATAAAGGTTTCCAAGGATAGAAAGTTGTGGAGAAGAAATGTCAAAAGTCCAGCGGCGCACACTGGCTAGTGGCTAGTCGCGCCGACTGCCGACTGGTGTCGCGCGTGATGCAATGGATGCGAAACGAAGTTGAAGTTGTGCACACAGAACAGCTAGCGTTGTTGAAATTCTAAAGCTTTATTACACTATACACAAACATATCCATGTACATGTAGATCAATTGTTGAAATTCTAATGTACTTACATCTTACTTAGCTTGTTCTAGCGTGCCACAATGGTTACCGTACACACACACACTAGAACGTGCTTGTACTTCCAAAGGCTAATTATTTCGGTGCATATAATAAGCAAAATTAATAAACATATATGAAGTGAAATAATTGCAGCATCGTCGAGACGTCTTCATCCGAAGGATCGCACGCTTGCGATTGGCAGCCCGCAGCCAGCAGCTGGCTTGGTTGCTAGAGCTTTCCCGCCGGTGGCGGTGGGCAGTTTATTTTCGGGTTGTAGGAGTGGCACGACGGCGCTGCTCTGCTCTGCTCGGTGCGTGATGAAGCTTCTTCACCTGGCATAGCTCGAGCTGATTGATGGAGCTGTTGAAGAGATCAATAGGTGAAGTGTAACAACATGCGTTTTTTTTATAGACTGCATGTGCATGCGAACTTGCGAAGTTCATATTGCAACGCGAGCGAGGCAAGTGCGCGGTAACTGTGGGTCACTAACTTTGGCAGTGAGGCGTTAATTCTCTTGCAGTGAGACGTACGCCACATTTGACAGCTCAAGATGCGCGTTTCATGCTAGTATCTTTCTCGGCCGGTTGGGTGAAATCTTCGGTGCTTACCAACTCCACAGAAAGATGAGGATTCGCCTGCTGCCACACCGAAATTCAACGAAGCAAAGCATGCATATATATATGCTGCATTGTTTGACTGCGCTGCCGCCGGAGACTATGCGCTGCTGCATGCATGCATGGGGCACCCGCAAGTGTCACTAGGCGCTGCCTTCGCAGAGAAGAAGACGACGGGATCGGTGGTGACTGAGTCATCAGTTCATCACTGATACGGTCTGGTAAGCAGTTGCTAGCACTGAGCAGGGAAGTTGTAAAGTGGTGACTGGGGATATCCTTGTCCCCTGGTCGTGGCGATCGACATCGCCCGACAAAATGGCCCCGGTCGTACGTATAGAATCGGAAATGCTAGAGACTGTCTGTTTAGACTACTCGTTACTCGTATGTATTGCAGGTGGGTAATTTCACGCATGCTTCTCTCGCCGGCGGTGGTAATGTACGGACGCGTACGCACGCCCTACACCGCGTGGCAACGCTCTTCGTAATGCGAGCGCCGAGTGGTCCGTGGTGGTGCACGTGTGCATGTGCATGGACCCGTGAAGTGGCGTGAATTTCTTCGTCTGCAGATTCTTTTCCTCTGCAGTGAGCCACGAAGTTGGACGGATGGAGCCATGGAGGGGTGAGGGATAGAACGCCGTACGTATCTCAGCATGTCGGTCGGTTGATAGAGCCATCGAGGAATATATACTAGTATTAATACTAGTGTAATACTGGTCGAGATTGACCTGCATCTGCGCGTGGCGGACACGGCATCAGATGGCGCCATGGCGGCATGTGGCGCTGCGTGCATGGTACCGTGTTTGGTCGAATCAATCATCGTATCATCTCATCCTCGATGAAGATAAAGAGATCGCACCTAGAGCAATACACCGCTTAGAGTCAGAGAGATCCGGCCATCCGGCCATCCCGCTTGGCAATTCGACCGAACGACGACGGCATTCCGGGCAGCGGATAGCACGCTGCGTGCGCGCGGTGATTCCTGCTGTCTCCTGTCTCGAGTCAAAAAGAATCACGGTTTTTAGGAGCGTTTGACCACTACCTTTTGTCACATATAACGTTTTTAAAGCATGGCAAAAAAAAAAGTTGTCCAAATCATGATTTCACCAACCTAGATTCAGTTCTCTCACAAAATTCACAGGTTGCAGAGACAATAAACATGAAGAGCGAGATCACACGAGCAGGAGGGTGGAAACTAAGGAAACTCCTAGAGTATATGCATAAAAGTTACATTTAATCTAGTACATGGTCTTCAAATATCAAAATAAACTCAACACATTAAAAGTACTCCATCCTTTCCAAATTATAAAATCATTTTGACTTCTTTTTTTCCTTCCATTTTGCTATGTATCTAGACATAATATTATATCTAGATGCATAGCAAAATAGATGTACTAAAAAGTTAAAACGACTTATAATTTAGAACCGATGGAGTAATATACAATTATATAATTTAAAATATATTAATAGCTCTAATATGATACTCACTCTACCCTGAAATAAATCGACTTCTAAAGTGTATGCAATGTGTTCATTTGGTTGAGTTTCATTAGGGCTTATCAGCCATAATATAAATGTTGTTTTCCTTCTCACAACAATTTGATTAAATTTTAAATAGTTTATTTTGCAGCTGTAGAGTAAACCAACCTGGGGAGTACTTATTTGCAGCTAGTAGTCAAACCATTTGAGTTTCATTAATTTTGTACAGAATAATATAAATATTAATGTTAATTTTATAACATTTGATTAAATTTTAAATAGTTTAATTTTGCAGCTGTAGAGTAGAGTACTTTAGAACTGGGGGAGTACTTATTTGCAGTAGAGTAGAGTACGGAGTACTACTACTTGTTACTGCCACCAAGCAAAAAAAAAAGCATAGATAGATGGGTACGTGTTGCACGCACAATGCCAGCGATGGGCACACGAGCGACTTGCTTTTGCTTCACTCGTCCGCGCGCGTGATCGCCTCGTGCGGCCGCTTTGTGCACAGTGGGCTTTGGTTTGTCTTAGGCCTGGTTTAGTTTTAAAAAAAAAATTGTCTCCTACAGTAAAAGAGCATGTTTGGATATATGCATGGAGTACTAAATATAGATGAAAAAAAATTAATTACACAGTTCTCGACAAAATCGCGAGACGAATCTTTTAAGCCTAATTAGTCTAGAAAAAGCCTTAAGTGCTACAGCCCACATGTGCTAATGACCGATTAATTAGTATCATTAGATTCATCTCGCAGTTTCCTGATGGGTTCTGTAATTTGTTTTTTTTATTAGTATTCAAAAACCCCTTCCGATACAACCGAAATGACATCCAAAAATTTTCACCTCTCCAACTAAACACACCCTTAGTCGCGCTTCAGTCAACTCGCTTGACGACATGTGCTGCTCCACGTGATGTACTAGTACGTATTACTACTACTACAGTATGAGTTGACTTTTGACGTCATGCCAAACTACAGTACAATACTACGACGCGGCTACACCGCTCGCGCAGTCACGCTGCATGGACCTGCTGTCAGTCAGTAAGGATTGCAATCAGCAATCTCGTTTCTCGATGTGAAACGATTTTCAGCGTTGAAGCGTTTTTATGCAGTGTTTGCATGTTCTATGCAACGATTTTCATATACAGTTGGAAGATGCAGTGTGGGTCTATCTTTTCACTGAATAACCAATACATTTTTCGTCCGATATAATCAATACTAGTAATTGTGTATCTATCTTTTGCATGAACTCTCTCTTATTCTTATTTTTTAGATTTATATTTTTTTTACTATATTCTTATTTTTTTTACTATATTCTACGTAAATGTCTATAATTAAGGAAGTTAATTATTTGATTTCTCTCAATTAGGCTAGTCTCAGTGAGAGTTTTATTTGTATTAAATAGGTTGTCACATAGGCAATTTTATTGACATTTCAGTGTATTTAAGAAGAGAGAGAAGAAATAGGTTTCATCTAGATGAAACTCTTTTAATACAATTACCAACTCTTTATGAGTCTTAAAATTAAATGGCTATGAAACCATGGAATGAAACTCTCCATTGAGAGTGGTTATTTCATTCAAGTTTCATTTCATTTAGCATGACATGGCAGTTTTGGAAAACGCCATGAAACTTCCCAGACTGGCCTTAGCCGTAAATAAAAGCCTAAAATTAAGCAAGTTAATGACTTCTTGGTAGTAAACAATGGAACTTCTGAACCTTTGGAATAATAATAATCAAATAATAATAATCCTTTCGGAAGATGCTCAAATAGTATGAAACCTGGTCTGGCCGTAAATTCATAGGATTAAAACTAGCACCCTACAGAGCTGTGCATTCGGTTTGCAAAAATCACAGGAACAAATTTTTCCACATATACAGACAAAAATCGATCAAGTAAAT